AAAAAAAACACAAAATTACCATATCATAAAATGCTTGTAGGCTGACCTTTGCGCAGCTACTTTTTGCAAGGTAGACAAGTAACGCAGTTGCATTGACATCGTGTTCTGGCTAAGCATATCAGCTGCTTCGTGCATACATCTGTAAAAGTGATGATAGCAAACAAATATATGCAGCGTTCGTAAATTTGACAGTGATTTTCGCGGTTGTAATTTGTATCTTATCTCAGTTCATTGCATAAGGACGCTGCTGCGTTCTTTTAGATAGTGCGCGTTTGAGAGAGGCAGCAGATTGTTAGAGGGACGAGGCGCGTTCTGAGAGACGCCGACAGTGTCCGCAATGGCGTCCTGCCTCTGCGTGCGATGAATTGCCTATGGCACAATTTCCTTCCATATGTCATTTGCTTGTCATACTTGTTCACCTACTTGGAAGCATTCTTCTCGCCTTCAGCATGAAATACAGCGGCCCTTGCTCGTCGAACAGCTTCTGCTTCAACTGCCATACTTCGGGTGAGCTGATGAGGAAGACGAAGATCCTTGATTTCAACGCGCTCTACCTTAATGTTTCCTAAGTGGCAGAGGACAAATCTTTCGCAGTTTATACCTTAACTCCCCATGGTAGTGTGCCTTCGTCCATTACTTTTTCGGTAATCTAAAATATGTTTGATGAACATGTTTAAAACAAGTTTTATATATAGACTGACAGTTGCTATCGCATCTCTTTCGGACAGTATTTCACTCAAAGTTTTCGTGCCCAGTACATTCCGAAGTGTTGTCTGAGCGAGGAGACGGGTACTGAACTGTGCATCATTCACCATTGTCACTGATACAACCTGCAATCGTCGATTGAAAACCAATTGAAGTGAGTAAGATATTACTAAAACAGTGCTCAGGACTTCCGGGGGCATTGAAACTATGAAACTTCTGAAGAACGCTCGGAGCTGCCAGGTGGAGGTGGGGCGTGGGATAGTCCGCTCGCGGTGACATTAGAAAAGTTGAGGTACTGGACTTCCGGGGCAAAACTGGAGAAAACTGGCCCCCGGAAGTCCCAAAGATCCGCAGAACTACTGGGGTTATCTAGGTGTTCAGAGTCTTCATAACCAGATAGAGAAAGAAGAAGAAAGATGTCTGGGGGTGGAGGATTATATGTCGCCGAAGTGAGAGGGTCCCGCGCGGACAATGCAGCAGATAAGCCTGTGCATGTATTGGAATGTGATTTGTTGCAGATGTCCGCCACTTTCGG